TGAATTGTAATGCAAATATCCGATATGTGATGCCAGAGAAAGGGGTCTTGACCCACATGTTGAGAATCATTGTTCTAGACTCTCTTCATTGCCATGACATTTTATTGAGTGCTAAGTGCTAGGAGCTATGAGAATTCAAAGTATAACAAAACCCCCACTCAGACACTACCAGAGGGCCGCCCAGGAAAGACCCTCATAGCCCAGCCCCGGTTTCCTCTATGAAGCAGCTTTGGACAACAGTGAGAACTCCGGCAATCACTGGGGCAGTCACTGACTCTCCAGCACCTGAATGGTGCTCAGAGAGGGGACAGAGGAAGGGGAGGGGCTGGGAGGGGAAATATGCTGGACATATAGATGTGCAGGATCTAGGGAGTGGTGTGGAGGGGGGAAAACAGCTGGTGAGTGGCTGGGGGTGGGGCAAGAGCGCCTGCCCCTGCAAGCCTGATGACCCGAGTTCACGCCTCAAAACCCACAGCAGAAGGTGAGAACAGGCTTTTCACCGCTGTCCTCTGATCATCACACACACAACTCAGCATGTGTGTGTACACACACACTACACACATCCTAATAAAAGATAAATTTTAAAAGTGGAATGGAAAGAGCTGGAGGCAGGGAAGCATTCCTAACTCTCTAGAGAGAGGTTATGAAACCAAAGAGTCAGCATTCCTCGCAGGGCAAAGGGAAAGTCTGTGTTTGCCTAGCAGGAGCACCAAGCCCTGGGCTCAGCAGACATGCGGGTGGGTGGATGGTTCGTAGCAGGGTCTCAGGTGTTTCAGATTGGCCTCAGTATGCAGCCAAGGCATGCATCCCCACCCAAGCTCTATGCAGTGCTGGCCTCAAAACCAGGGTTCCTCACTGAATGCCTCAGCTCAAGCAAATGAGCTTCACTCCCTGCCAAGGGTGTGTCCATAGTTTACTCTAGTAAACCGATTTTACTATAGGGCTGCAGAGACCCTAGGGAATCACCCTCACCCTAAAACAGACCCTTTTAAGAAAGCCTCATCCTCCAAAAGGAATTCAGCCCTTTCCCATTTTTCTAACCACCCCAGCAGGTGCAAACACAGTAAACTGCGGTGGACAGCAGATTTCCACAACCATGGCTGACTGACACTGGGTGCAGGGACAGGTGGGAAAACTGCTCTCATTTTTTTTTCTCCTACTGAAACTGGAATGGAGGCTGAGGAGATGGTCAGTGGTTAAAGCACTGGCTGCTCTTGCAGAGGATCGGGTTCCATCCTAGTACCCACAAGGCAGCTCACAACTCTTAACTGTAGTTCCAGGGGATCCAATGGCCTCTTCTGACTTCTATGGGCACCAGGCACGTACTTGGTACACATACATTCATATAGGCAAAACACCTGTACACATGAATTTAAAAATAGATCTTCATAAAAGAGAAAAAGGAGAAGGAAACTGTAATGAAATCCTAAATCTTACTGAGACTTGCAAATGCTATATAACCAGGCTTCAGATTTTCTCCAAACTTCACTCTTTAGGCCTTCTCCCTTCTTGGCTGGGAACATCTTTACCTTGGCTCCTGGGACCTCTGGAGGTTCTGCTGCCTCTGCACCTCGCTTCCCACAGCACACCAGCCCTTCCTTACAGCTCAGCCACAGTTTATACATGTGTATGTAGTTCACTTTCTTTCTTTATCCCAAACCTCCAAGCTCAGGAAGGTGGAAGCAAGGACTATGTCAGCCCCCACGTGACACCCTGCAGAGTATGTGCCAGTAATTATTTATCAAGTTCATTTTGGAAATGGGTCCTGGGCTGGCTGGGTGCCCAGTGATTAAGAGCATTCAGCAGCTATTCTTGCTGAAGACCTGGGTTCAGTTCCCAACATCCACATAGTGGCTCACAACCAGTTGTAACTCCAGTTCTAAGGATCTGATGACCCTTTCTGACCTCTTGCAGTACCAAACTTGTACACAGTATACATAAATACATGTAGGCAAGACACCTATACAAATAAAATAAAATGATCATTAAGTTTTTAAATTAAAAAATGAGAGGCTGAAGAGATGGCTCAGCAGTTAAGAGCACTGGCTGCTTCCCCAGAAGTCCTGGGTTCAATTCCCATCACCCATATGGTGGCTCATAACCTTAACTGTAGTCCCATGAAATCTGATACCCTCTTCTAGGGTACAAATATACACGCAGACAAAACACTCACATACATATAGTACATAAATAAATCTTTGAAAAAATTTAAAAATATGTTTTGAAGTCAGATGCACTACACTGAAACACAAATGTAGTGGCACGACTTTAATCCCAGCACTCAAAAGGTAGACAGGTGGAGCTCTGAGTTGGAGAGTAGCCGGGTCTACAGAGTAAAACCATGTCAAGGAAGGAAGGAAAGAAGGAAGGAAGGAAGGAAGGAAGGAAGGAAGGAAGGAAGGAAGGAAGGAGAAAGAAAGAAAGAGAGAAAGGAGAGAAAGAAAGAAAGAGAAAAAGAGAAAGAAAAAAGAGAGAGAAAAAAGAAAAAGAGAAAAAAGAAAGAGAAAGAAAGAGAGAGAGAAAGAAAGAGAGAAAAAGAAAGAGAGAGAGAAAGAAAGAAAGAGAAAGAAAGAAAGAAAGAAAGAGAGAGAGAAAGAAAGAAGAAAGGAAGGAAGGAAAGAAAGAGAAAGAGAGAAAGAGGAAGGAAGGAAGGAAGGAAGGAAGGAAGGAAGGAAGGAAGGAAGG